GTAAACTAAATAGATATATGCCTACTAAAAACTTTTTAGGCCTCCATTATTTAAAAAAAAAGATTAGTTGAAATCTTTAATAAATTACATATAAATTCCTAAATCTCAGGACCGGCCATGACTACTGGTTTAGACATGTATACAGTTTTGGTTAAATTACGTGAAGAAAGGAATTATGTAAGTTTCAAAAAAAAAAAGAATTTTCTATATCCATCTCCATGAGCATGACATTCTTTTTGAGATTACAGTTTGTTATGGTCCATCTTTGCAATTACTTCATCTATTGGTACGTCGCTGTTGTAGGTTTAAGTATCTTTTTTCTGAAGGTTTAAATACCTTAATTAGTTGACAGATTAATTAGTATATATATTCGTACATATGTACGTGAACGAAATTAAAACATGCATTGTACAATGAAGTGTTTCCATAGAATTTTAGAATGAAAAAGCGAGATACGTGGGGACAAAAGAGATGAAATGTCAAACAGCAAAAGAGCTGTTTGGTATTTTACCAACAGTTTATGATTTAATAAGAATGTTGACAGAACACAACGCATTTATGTGTGCAGATACAAATTCTTAATTTTGTTTCTGAAAATAAAAATTGAAGAGAGACTGTGTTAAAAGGAAATTCAGAGGCAGATTGCAATTTGTCTGCATGCATGCATTTATAGTCTTGTCTCTTAGTTTGTTTTCATCTGTATTTAAAAAGAAGGAAAAGAGAAAAATATGAAGATTATAGTGTATGTATAGGGAAAACAACCAATAAACACTTTCAACTTTCAAATTAAATCCAAAATATCTAACTCATATTTAAGTCAAAAATAAATTCAATTTTTAAATATTAATCATTTTAATTTTTATATTTAACTAATTTGGTCATTTAAGAAACAAAAAAAATTCAACAGTTAGTCTCAAGTAACAACTATTATACCTAATACAACAAAGTTTTAACAAATAATTTGTTTAAACGAATTCCAAATCAATTTAATCTTCTTCACTTGAAATCCTAGTTCATAATTCGATATAAAATTAATTTCAGAGGCGATCGAGGATCTTTTTATCAGAGGCAATCTCTGAAATTGATCTGGGGAAGATGAAATCAAACTGGAGATTAGGTTTCTAAGTGAGGAAGATGAAATCGATTTGAGATTTGCTTAAACAAAATGATTTTTAAAATGTTGGTGGTATAACGATCGTTACTCGAGTTACATTTGACTTTCTGATTTTTTAATGGTCAAGTCAACAAAATATGAGAGTCAAAACAACAAGTATATAAAAAGTTGAAGAATTATTTGGTTCAAACATGAGTTGGAGATTTTTTGGCTTTAGTTTGAAAATTGAAGGTTTTAATGGTTATATATATATATATTGTTCAAATTATAGTGTATATATTTAGTATCTAAATATTGATCTAACTTAATTGTACCAATCATAAAATTTAGTTAATATGGTATCACGTGATCACATAACTAAATAGCATGATAGATCAAAACCTTGTGATTTTAACGAATTTCCTAAAAGCTTGTTAATTTAGATTAGATTATAATAATAAAAAAATGCCTTCAAATACAATTAAAATACTTTTTTGTCCAAAATAGTATATAATGGTAAAAATCAAAAATAAACATTAAATTATACAAAGACATCTACTCACTATTTTTCAAAAAAAAAGACATATACTCACTATAACAATGAAATTAACTAAATATATTAAGGCTAAACATATAGTAAATTTGGGTTTCTGATTTACAGTTTATGGTACAACTTTTTAGGGAAATTTAATTTTTAAATTTTCATCATGCTATCTTATGATTTTTATGTTTTGATGTTTTTTGATAAAATTATTTTTAGTGCTATTAACGAGATTTTTTCATATATAATTAAAAATTGCAGCTTACAATTAATAGTTATAAAACTAGAGTTGGTTGGGTAATCGAAAATAACTTCAGATTTTTTTATTAATTTTGGGGTATTCCAAACTTATCGAAAGGTTATTAATTTATAAGAATAGATGTAATATACGGATATATCATCTCTACAGTTATTCAAATTATCTATAAACAATGGATCTATATATATGTGTGTCCACACGATGGAGTACAGAGAGGTGCATTCGAAGCCATGTTGTTTAGCAACCATAATCTTAAAGGTTAACCACCATTACATGGTTAACTTAATTATTTTGATACCAAATACTGTGTTTTTGTAAGCACAACCGTCCAATAAACTGGAGTTCAATAAAATGAATCAAGTTACTGAAACATCCAAGTTCTTTTTGGCAATCCATAGTGTGTTTAAGATATGGATTGTCAATAACATTATTTAGAAGAATCCGTAGATATCTTTTAGCCCCAAAAAATAAATATTCAGAATCAAGAATGTTGACAGTGGGAAGAGAGAGAGAGAGAGAGAGGTAGACAAGGCTTTAGAGTCTATAGACAACTAATAGGTGCGAATGCTAATGCATGCAATGTTTTTGCATGCAGACGTTATAAAGTCAAAATGCTCAGTTTCTGGAGATTTGTTTTTAACAGAGGCTTATTTCTGGAGATTCTAAACAAACATTTCTACGGTGATGTGATCTTTGTGGTACATTTGTATGTTTTAGTTAATAAATAGTTGTGAAATTAACACATGTCAATCAACGAAACTCATGGTTCTAATACACAATTAGTTTTTGTAATGATTATAATGATTATAATGTGTATGTATATAATGAGAGCACAGTATTTTAATACATATGTACTACCGGCTACATAGACGTGTATGTTTAATTTCACATGGTTGTACAGATTGACTTGTCTGTCCGTGTAAAGATTGAAGAAAATTTACCCATTTTTCGTTTAATATGATATGTCAACGTCGTTCTGTTGAGAGTAAATCATAGTAAAGTAATTATGACATAATCATTTAAGTTTCTCCCCATTCTCCTTCCATCCTCTCTCTACATACATGCATATATATATTCAGAGATAGATAGACACATTTAGATTTATCGATTCTTGGTCTTGATATGATTGATCACATTCTGTGGATCTTTATCGTCTATTATCTTTTATGGAAGTTTTATAAACCATACTTTCTAGAAAAAAAGTTTATAAACTATGAAATCTTTATTTATTATTTGTTGATGATAATCATTTGTTAAGTTCTAGTAATATTTTAGCACATTTTCAATGGAACTTCTAACTATGGGATTCTCAAAATACATGTATATATATATATATATATATATTAATTTTAGTATTTAATTGTAATGTTTTTAATTTTATGGGAAAGACAATTCAGAAATTCTATACACAAAATTTTGGATTGAATTTTCGTAAAGTTAAGAATTTCACAGTTAAAGACTAAAAATAATATATACATGCACATATATGTATTTTGAAAACTCCAGAACACTCCATTGGAGGTGTTCTTAAGACATCTCAAAAAAAATTAATAGAATTTCTAACCAATAAAACTTAGAGAAATAAGAAAAATAAGAGACAAGTATCTCAATGACGTTAAAAATTCTATATCTTTCTTTAAAAAGATAAGAAATAGTCCGGGTTAGAATCCCATACAACACATGTTTGTTGTAATTAGTCTAGCTATTATTTAGTTATTAAATTTTAATTAATGAACTAAACTCTGTTAAATTATTATTACTTTTTGTTTAAGAACCTCACTTGAGATATTTTACTGATAAGGCTGTTCTTATGTAGTAAAAAAATAAATGAAACTGATTAGTTAAGGTGTTTTCATGTTCGCACAGAGACGGATCAGTCATTGTCTTAATTTATGAGATTGTTCATATATTTAAAACGTCTTGAATGATCCACCTCGAGAACCCATGCACCCTTATTTTTCCTCTTTGGTTTGTGTTCTTGTTCTTTTTGGTCTCTCTCTCTTCATATATTCCTATATCACCATTTGAGACACATCGTCATAAGATATTCAACTAAGATGTATGTTTATAATCTTTTGGTCTGGTTATATTTTTTTCAATTTAAAATATTCGGATATAAATATAAAACCCGTCAATGTATTTATAAAGTGGAAATCAACTAATTTCCTTACAACTTTGAGTTTGTTTTGGTTATGGTTAAATTCAGTTTTATAATAGTTTTGATAAAATATGAGGTCGTTCAAATAATTTGGGTGAAAATACTGGTTAATTAGATATTTCATGAGTATAAAATATTCGAGTAGTTTGAGTGATGTTATTTCTTAGTGGAAAATACAAGTTTAATTTGTTATATTGGTTTAAGATTAACTATATTTATTTCTTACGTTTTAAATATTTAGTTAATTCATATCTAAATATAAATATAATTTTAGGTAAATTAATTGTACTTCGGATACTCATTCGATTTTGCTTTGTATTATTACGTACATATATTTAATAGTCAAAATAGTTTTTTATACAAAGAGCTTCTTAAGTACTTCATTATTTAAAATAAATAATGTTCAATTATTTGCAAAAGATTTCGAAATAGGAGATTGTTCACAGTTATGTGCCATTCGATTATAGATGGTAGATCTGGCTGGTATTAATATTTGTATTATTGTTTCTTTTTGTAAATGTATTATTATTTCTTGACATCATTTATGTATTACTGTATATTGAAAGTGAAAGCTCCCGACAGAAAAAAAAATTGAAAGTGAAAACTATAGTTATTCAAAAAGAAATATCCCTTTATGCACATAAGTACGTATGTTATAATTTGGAGCATATGGAATGGGGAAGTATCAATGCAAAAATGCATCATAACATAAGAAACAATATAGTACAATGTTCTTTATTATGTTTATTTTTTGTCTAACCCTTTGCTATCTTGCGTCCCTTTCCAATGCACTTTAATATTAAATGAACTTTTTCCCATTTTCTCTCTAAACATATAATCTCATTTCGGGTATAAATAACCTTAACTACACACAAAGCATCAATATTTGGAGAGGTATCAAAACAACTAGAGAACATACACAAAGCATCAATATTTTCTTAAACGGAGAATGAGTCCGGTGGCTTCAACGAGGTGGTGTCCAACGCCGGAGCAACTAATGATTTTGGAAGAAATGTACCGTAGCGGTATACGGACTCCTAATGCGGTGCAGATACAACAAATCACAGCTCACTTAGCTTTCTATGGACGTATAGAAGGCAAAAACGTCTTTTACTGGTTTCAAAACCACAAGGCGAGAGATAGACAGAAGCTGAGGAAGAAACTCGCTAAGCAACTTCACCAACAACAACATCATCATCTCCAACTTCAGTTCCAACAAATCCAACCCAAACCAATATCGATGATGTCTCAACCACTTAATAACATCACTGATCATCATAATCCTTACCATTATCATAATCATCATCGTCATTATGATCATATGTCTTTAGCTTGCTGCTCTCAGCCTTCTCCCATTTGTCTTCCTCATCAGGTATGTAATATTCTTAATTGTCTTCTCTTTTTTTGGGTAAGACCCTTTTTGTTATGCAACTAAAATGGATGCAAATGTTCCTGACCAATATCAGCTGTATATGAATTAACAATAAACAAGCAGAGTGTAAACTCCGGTTTATTAAGATTAATATACACATTACTGATTTTTATAACGATTGATGATTCTAAACCAATAAATAAGAAGCTTGAGAATATCATATTTTCGAGCTACTTAAATGGGTTTCATAGAAAGCTGAAAATGAGAATGTAACAAGTTCTTTTGTTTGCCCTAGTTTCTTATATATGTTAAGTATTACTTCTGCATATGATGATAATTTTTAGAATGTATTTGGAAATTATAGGGAATTGGAGAAGAATCTCAAACCAAAGTGCTGAATGAATATTATTACAACAAAAGTGGACCTGAAGAGATGCTTATGCCAAAAGGAATCACGGGTCAAAATTCTACGTACAGTCGAGATTGGATGATGATGATGGATATGGCCCCACGACCATCATATCCCTCATCATCATCATCTTCACCAGTTCAATATTGCAACATGATGATGAACAGTCCAAAGATACCACTAAAAACCCTTGAACTCTTCCCAATCTCATCCATCAACTCCAAACAAGACAGTACCAAACTTTAAAGAAAAGACAACATTTACAAAAGAGATTCTGCAGGTGTTTCATTCATGTATGTTTTGTCAAAGGCTAATACAAAGACACGTGTACTTGGTGGTAAAGTATTGGCCGTTGGATAAAATTACTTGACACCTTCCTCTCTCTCTCTCTTCTTTCTTACGTCTCTATCTCGGCAGTAGAATTAATGGGAAGCTTTTTTTGCTTTTTTTTTTTGTTTTGGACAAAATGGGAAGCTTTAATAGTTTTTAGAAAGATATATTTCAAGTTGCATGATGTGGTTGGCCGGTTGGGACTTGGAAGTTATTATGAGTTGTAAAATTGGGTATCTTGGTTTCTGTAATTGCATGCATGCATGTGTAGGCTATTGTCTTTAGGACTAGACAGTGAGAAAGTTCTCCTTTGTCTAATGTGTAACTTCACTCTTTATTTTGATGTGGTCACCTTTCGTTTTGATGTGTACCATGATTCTTCCCTTTTTGTTTTTATTTTACTCTTCCATGATAATTTTTTTTTTTTTGAAATCTAATTCATTTTCACATGATACTAATTGAATAGTGATTACAAATTTCTTGATTTTGGTTAACTAATATTGATTCGAAGCTTCACATCACTTTAATTAGTTTTCCTGTACATATCCATCATATACGTGAACACATGTTTCGGTTCAGTTATTAGATGATATTTTACAAAAGAGATTAGTAGGGTCGAATAAAATATATATATTTTTAAAACACAAAATGAAAATAGTATTTTAAAGAATTAAATTTTGACAGTTTTCAAAAATAAAAAAAAATTAATTGACCCACTTGTCTGCAAGTATTTTTTCTGTATTTTTTAGAGATCATATTTAAAACCTATTTATTATTTTAAAATACATTAAATAATAGTGTTGGTTGTTCATATACAAAATGCTAAATAAAGATTTAATAACATATGGATGGAAACAACTCCCACAAGCACGAGCACACCTCCTTACAACAGAAGCACGCACGGAACTTGTTAATTTATCACATGTAAACGACACATCCATCTGTGGTTAGCTCCACAAGCTAATTTATTCGGACCAGTTTAATAAAATATAAGAGATTTAAAATGAAAATATAGTGGGATAGTTTATGCTCTTATAACATGAGAAGAAGACCCTTGAAAGTTGAAACCATATGAACCAACAATAAACTTACATGATTGCTTACAGCACTGATAATCTTTTTCATAATATATTATTACTTGTTGAATCTATCATATATGAAATCAAGTTTAGGAACTAAACAATTTAAAAACATTAAAATATAACTAGATAGTGGGTTCAAAAAAGAAACAAATGGAGATATTTGTTTGTAGCATACAAACTCTTTCTCGTGTTCCTATAAATCTGACGATAAAGACGAATCCTTATATTTTTCAATTGATGGCCGTTAACGGAGGTCGACCACCGTTACTAACGTGTTTCGCGTCTCCGTTAGATTGTTGCATTTGTTTGGGCGACTTGGACGAACAATGAAACGCCTTTAATAGTTCCTCAAACGACGGCGTTTTAAGTTCCTCAATCGAGTCAACCGTTGGAATGTTGTACTCTCTCTTCCTCGGCGTTGAGCTTGTTGCTTCATCAACCTAAGTGACACATAAAACGTAATTTAAATAATCCGTTTCCAAGTAAAACGTAATTTAAATAATCCGTTTCCAAGTCCAATCGTGTATACATTATTGATTTAAACAAAAATAATTAAATATATAACCATTACCTAAGTAAATATGTAGATATAGTTTAAATAATCCTTCCAAATCAGTAATGTATATATTTTATATGATTAAATGAAACCAAAGTAAATATGATTTAAATAATCCTTTTCCAAATTTAATCACATACGATAGTTACCTAAGTAAATATGTAAATTTAAAAAATGATCACCTTGTACTCGTGACCAAGACATTTCCCTGTGTTGTGTTTTATTTCGACAACATTGCTGTCATGGTGAGTTCTGAGTTCTTCCAAGCTTCCATAACTAGGAGCGATGGTGGAGTTAATATCCACGGATGCGGCTTTATCGAGCTGTAACGAGTCTGCGAAACCCAAAGATTTCCATAAGATGATAGAATCAAAAATACGAGGCAGACCGAAACACTTACTGTCAATGGATGAGAGGATGTCTCTGTTTGCAGAATCAGCGTGGCTTAAAGTGTTCGAGACCGCAGAAGAGAACTGAGTTCGTAGTTTGTCATTGTTTTCTTTGGCTCCTCTGGTTTAACCATATATAAACGTGAAGAAGATTAGTTTAAATGCTTGGAAGAAGGAAGTAGTAACTAATTATAAAGTGTGGTTAATTACCGGATAAGAGAATCTGCGTTTGCAACGTTCCTCTTTTCTAGATCGACCAATGATTCTTGAGCAGTCTTCCATTGTTGAGTTCCAGTTCTTGAATCTTCAAGGCTGAGGAAAAATCATTCATGGCTCAGAGGATTAACAAACCCACATTTTATAAGTAATAAACTTGTGAAATAAAAGTGTGATTTTTACCATTTAAGAAGCGTTTTCTGCATATCTTCCTTCGCCATTTCAACTGCAGAGATGTTATCGAGATGATGAGACTCTGCTTGTACCATGTGAGCGTTCCACTGAACTTTGACGGAGGAAGCTGATTCTTGCATTGCAGACATTTCTTGCTGCAAGGCGCCGGTTTGTGAAGATGATCCTTCGCGAATATCTTGCACAGCTATCTGAACCAACTCTTTCTTTCTAGCGTGTGAGCTTGCTAGTAACTCTGCTACTTTTTCAAGCATTTGTTTCTCTTCATTTGCAATTGATTCCTGAATGACCAAAACAAGAAACATAATCGTTATAAATAAATGGTTGTGTTGTAGAACTAGATAAGGAGAAATAGCAAAAACCAACCTCGAATTTCTTTGTGAATGCTGATAGTTTCTGCTCGTTGACGTTTTGAGCGTCTTCTGCTAGCTTCGTAAGCTTACCGGCATGCGTGTCTAGAGTCTTGAAGAAGTCTAACATCACCTCGGAGACAGACTTAGCGGACTCCATTGATCGGGAATGCAAATCGCGCTGTTGCTGTGTGAATGCAGAGAGTTTCTCCTCTTGATTGTGAAGGCTACTTTGAAGCCCTTCAAGTAGGGAGTAAGCCTCTGATGTAAATCCTTTGAACATCTGATTCAACACAAGTGCATAAAGTCAAACATCAATACAAAAGAAGAATATCTATACTTCTTTAGGAAGCTCTCTACATGATTGAGATTCTCTTCTTACATCTTCTAGTGCACAAGAATGTTTTGTCACTTCCGAGTTCAAGTCATTCAATGTCGTTTGGCTGTCTTTATCCAGATTTCCTGCTATATCATCAAGTGACTTGATGCCTGAGTTGTACCTTTCCTTCAATTGTGCTAAACTTCCCCGTAAAGTTTCAGTTGCCTGCAAAGAAGAAGACCATGTGTGAACATTATTGAAGATATATATATATATATATATCAACAGACTCAGAGAGGTACGGGAAAACAATTTTTTTTTCATGTTTTACCTCTGTCTTTGCAGATACGAAAGATGCCATAACTTTCTCCATGTCTTGCAATTGTTTCTCCTGCTGAGTCACTGAACCTGCCACACTACTGTTCAAGACTTCAAGTTGCATAAGCAACTGTGACTGAAACTCCTGGATGAGCGATCTGTTGCTGTCTTCAATCTTGTCCTTTCTCTCTGGAATCATCCATCAATAGCTTTCGTTAGTTTTCAGAATGTGATGGCAATAATGGGAAAGAAGAAAGAGAGATGCAAACCAATTTTGGCGAACAAGTTAGAAACATCAGATGCTGCATTTGCCAACTCAGCCTGAAGCTCGACAGCACGGTCAACAAGTGTTTTCTCTGAGAGAATGTGAAAAAGTTATATATGTTTCATCTGAACAAACATATATGAACTGAAGAAATAAATTCGTCTTGTAACCACACCACTACCAATTTACCTGATTTAAGGAGATTGGATATCAAGTACTCCTTTTCCTTGATTGTTGCAACTGCCTGTCTATGTTTTTCTTCGACATCTAACAATGCTTGTTCCGTTTCCCGGAGCTTTTTCTAAATTCACAGTAGAAATAGGTACAAGAAGTTAATCCTTTCAGGCCAGTGGACAGGGAAATGTGCTTGGCAACAAACCAGAGCAAGAACTTGTGATAGATACCTCTGTATTATCAAGCTTCTCCCTCAGTCCAGCAGTTATAAGCTGTTCCGCATTGTACAGCTCTTGAAGCTCAATTATTTGCTACATTTAACAATCACAATAGTCAGCATATTTTTTAGTAGCTTAGAAGGAACCAACTGCAGTTTAATCTTACAGCCAAAAGAGTAAGGAAAACTAATCCTTCCAATTTGAACTGCTCACCTTGTCTTTAGCTTCACCCTCTACTTCCATTTGCTCTATCTTTTCAGCCATAGCCTGCAGCAACCAATAAAGAACGAAGTCTGAATCTATCTTCTAAAATTGTTAAATGACAGTGGTACTTATTCAATTATAAGAACTGTACCTTTTTCTCGGCTTCTTCTTGAGTGTACCTCTCCTTCGGAATATATATTCCATTTTTCTCCCTTGCGGCATAGACCTCTAAACAGTGAAGAACAGACGCATAAGTTTTCGATAATGAAGGAGGATCCTCAATAAGTTAACAATAGATACCTTGCTTCAAACGTTCAATCTCTCCATATAAGTCTTTCATAATAGCTGATTTCATCATCTTCTGGTTGACCTGAAT